GAAAATCGAATTTTTCCGCGATGCTTTTACACGACACGTTGCTTTCTCCGACGACTGGCTCGTTAAGTTGTAACAGAAGCCATTTGACAGCAACTGGGACAATAGTTCGAGGTGACTCCCGGCTTCGAAGCAGGAAAAGTGTCCGACTCGAGTGAAATCGATGCGGGTGCAGTCGCTAGAACCGCCATGGATCACCGTGTCGCGTTATTCTGCCTACCGAGAGGATATCGCGGGATTAGAGGCGGCGTTTCGCAACGAAAAAGCGACACGCGGAATGCGTGTTTGCATGGGCAAACGGTGTTTGCAGGCTGTAACGTTGAAATATTCATCGGCCGGCTACGTGTGACTAATACCGTATGAAAGCATGGCCGTTCGAGGTCGGCGATTCGTGCTTCTCGATTTCCAGGCTCGCGTTCGAGCCAAACGATAAGCGCGGACACGTATTATACCTGAACGAGTGGTCGAGTTAAACGAAACGTATCGGATCGAGCAAATGCATCCGAGCGATATTTGTTATCGCTGTACGTGAACAAACAAGCCTTCGAGTACGTGATCGAATGGGTCTTCCCACGAAAATATCGGAAAGTGCGAAGGAAATTTCGAGTTTCGTGGTCGAGCACCAGTTTTGGAGCAGCAAAGTATCGCTTCAACGTCTACGTATGGGAGAAAAAATTGCAGTTGTTAGGTACAGTAGCAGCTACACTCGTTGATCACTGAATCAGGACGATGAAAACCTTCTATTCGACTATGGGATTAGATACTTACTTTTGCAGCAGACTGAACGTCTCGAAAACGTCAATTGTCGTAACTCAATTCTCTGCGCCGAAGAAACGCATCTGGACTAGAAGCAGCATTTATATTATTCGGTGGGATTTCACAGCAAAAACACTATCAACTTTCCGAACAACCGAATGAAATTTTATCTCTACGACCCACAAATACAGAGAACGTTTATCTATTAGGAGAACATTTTCCCAAAAGGCACGATTTCCTGCGAAATCCGAAATTTTATCCGAGACTTTTGCTCCTTTCGGATCCACCGTGTCTTCTCTTTCTGTTTAAACGCTCGTTCAAAGCAAACACTCTTGCTTTTACAGCACTGGTAAACAGAGACGCGTGCGAGAAGACGGAACAACCATGGTTTCTAACCGTGTAAATAAACGGTGATCTGTTTATAAATAGAGATATCTTAATCACGTCGCTTCTCGTACGGAAACTACGTTATTACAAACGAGTCGACAATGGAGCTGCGACCCGAACAAGGAACATGGTGGTTTTTTGGTCGCTCGATACCGGAATTCGACGTTTCGAGGTACACCGCGATTCGTGATCGTACTCTTAAAACCTCTGGCCGCGTTTCGACGCCCCTGAACACTGTCGGGACCAGCCTCGAACCGACAGTTCCAGCAGCGTTCAAGGTTGCCAGAGTTTCGCGTGAAATTACGCTGCAGCGTGCCGGAGAAACTCGTTCCTCCGCTTGCGCGCTTTTCGTCCCGGCCACGCCACAAACGCGAAGAATCGACGAGTCCTTCTTGAACTGTGCAAACAAACGTTCTTCGACCTCCGGCAACGTTTCGTGCACCAAAACGCACACCCTGCGTTCCTTTTCGAGCCAAATGTTCGGGGTTCGGAGAATAACGACAGCCTCCCCACCCACCCATCCTTCTACGTACACGATGCTCTTTTTTTTCTTTCTTCGACTTTTGGTTTGGACTTTCGACAGCCACGACGTACCACATACGCATCGGTCGATTTACGAGAATCTGCGAGTACGCATTCGCTTGAATTTCGTTCGATTTTAAGGGCTGAGAGATTGCGATCGTGCGTACACGTTGGGAAGGGAAGGGCGAGCGGCCGGCGCGAGAGAACGGGAGGAGGAAATCAATGCCACCGTCTGCCGCGGGAGAAGAGAAACTCGTCGCGTATCGGTGAATTTTCGCCGGTGTCTGTTGCGCGTGACACAAGACACAGGTCAAGCAGAAAGATACACGCGACACGCGTTTTCCTCGTATGGTCGATCGTACGACAGAGATTATGGACGCGCGCAAGAGAACCGATAAAGAAGAGCTGATCGAACCGGAACGAGAGGACAGGGGCAAAGAGAAGAGGGCAGAGTGAAGGCTCCGCGAGCTGTAATACTCACTCGACCGCTAGCGTAGCGTATCCGCCACTGTCTTCGCTTCTTTCTAGGGGATTCTTGGCCGGTCTTATCGGCAGAAACTCCTCCGATTCCTTCCTGCGGCAACTCCTGCTTTCCTTTCACGCTGCTTCGATCGTTGGCCGGTCTCTCTGGTACGTAGCTCCACCGATGAATTTGGTTCGTACGCGGCACAAATCGAAACACGGTGGGGGTGGGGGGTTGCGAATAGAAAATACGAAACACCGGTCTGCGAAGAAGGGATGCGAACAGGCGGACCAATATACTCCTCGTACGACACTCTGCGCGACACTGCCTCGATAGACGAGACTCCTGTTAGGTAGGCAGGGGGTGATGGAGGGGACACATTGAATGTACGTACCGAATAAGGGAGGCAACCACCGCTCCGTTCTCGCGGGTGTCTCGAGCCTGACTGACGCACCAGCCAAGCCTGCCGACCGACCGAATCCCCTACTATTCTCTCCTTCTCTTTCTCGATGCACCACCACTCGTTCCTTCTTTCTTTATCGCTCTCTTTACTCCTCGTTTCTCGCGACGTCCCACCAAAGCCTCGCTTCGTTCCTCCTTCGATCACTCGGTGCTTCTCGTCGCGTTGCCTAGCCTCTCTATATCTCCCTCTCTTCTCTTTCTTTGCTCCGTTTCCACGTTTCTCCTTCTTGCCTGCCTTCGTCTTCTCTGTTCTCGCTGCGCGACACTCTGCCGTTCGTTTTCGTTCTTCTTCGATTTTCACTCTCTCCCCTTTTCGCCGTCCCTCCATTTTTCTAGCCTCTCTTTCTAATTTTATCTGCTCGCCGTCTCTCTCGATCGTCGATGCCCTCCCTCTCCGTGTAACCTCCGTCTCGAGTAGCTTTATCTCTTTTATGCGAAAGGTTCGGGTTAGGTTCGCGTTTCTCAGTCGATAGCTGGCTCTCTGCTCCTCCAACGCCCACCACGCATCTATACACAGGGTGGCATCGCCGAGACGGCGCTCTGCCCTTCGCCAGGACCTTCCACCGCGAGAATCGTAGGATCGCGAGAGTCGTGCCTTTCGATTTGTCGCGGCCAGCTATACCTGCAACCTTCCACCCAAAATACACTCCCTTCGTCCTCCTTCCAACTTTTTTCTTCCTCACCTTTGTTCTCCGTAGTACGCTCTGTCTTTCTCTATGTAACCATCTCGACGCGACCGAAATTGCGGATAATTCTTCGGGTGTGCCGATCGATCGTGGTCGCGTTTCCAGACGCAGAACACGCCAACCGTATTATTTTTCCAGGCCAAACCTTCCTCTTCGTTGCATCATCTAACATACTCGACCTTGTCTTCCGCTATATTTTCGCGATAACCAACGATTGCATAACGACATACCGATTCTATCGATTCGTATTCCCTTCGCGTTATTCTCTCTGCATCCAGTCCACCGACGCGACGTCAATTTTTCGAAACGACCGCAGAAGAAACAACGAAGTACTTGTTGAATGGAATACGCGTTCTTACGCCGATGAAGTCATAAGCTCCAACGAATAGATAGGCTCGTGAAAGCTGCTCGTACGCGTCTTTTACGAATATGTTACGCGCGTTATACGAGACACAGCGAAAAGTTTCGTTATCGTTGTTACGAGACGCGTCGAAAAGTAAAAGTTTTCTACGACGAACGATCAAATTATTTCGCGAGACTCTGCACGTCGGTGGTTGCTACGAATAACAACGAATAGCGTTATCTATCGTTAACGTGGCTGATTGATCGTGGCTGATTGATCGTGGCTGCGAGATATTAACGAGAGGCTATTCGATAATGATAAGGATACGACGCATTGTTGTCTGATATCGCGATCCGGCACCGATCCTCTTGGCGGAGAAAGGAAACGCGGAAAAGCAGGCGCGAAAAACTGTCTACGTTTCGCGGCTTGACTCTTTATTACTCTCGTAAGAAGCTGACTGACCAGGATAAACTTTGAAATTCACCGGGCTTTCTCTATTTTATCTCTGTTACTCCGCTACGAAGATACTTGACAGCATTACGATAACGCCGCTGCTAGTTACTTCTTGCAAGGCGGTATTTAACTGCGTGTATTTTATTTGCCGAAGATCGTAAGTTAAATCTGCGAGTTTGCTACTTATACGACTAATTACTGATTCGTTTTGCTCCAGCTGCTACACGTTCCTATATGTTGGCTTCTACTTTTATGGACTCGGCTTGTTATTCCCTTTTCTACAGTTATCGAATGACATTAAAAGTATAAAATGTAGCGCCGAAGGAAGCTGGGAAAGAGACGGAACGCTGGTTTTGTCGCATATATTCTTTATTTCATAGAATTGAATAATTATAGGACGCTATTGTACAAACGATGGCTACGGGTGAGATCTGCATGCAATTTTGCTAGAAACGAGTTTCTCGTCGGACGATTCGCTTTCGTTTAGCTCGCAGTGGTGATCGATAGCATCGGATTCCTAGAATCATTAACCTACTTCAAGTATGTCGGACCGTTCGTTTTAACACTTGCCAAGATATCATCGTTAATCAGACTATCATCCTCCGATCGTTCTTTCACCCTCAAAAAAAAAAAAAAAAAAAAAAAAAGCCTCG